CTTCCTCTGGGCTGGGAGCAGCGGGAGGGATGGTGGCCAGGAAGCTCCTTCCTCTGGTCCAGGAGCAGTGGGATGGCAGCTCAGAAGCCCCTACCTCTGGGCCGGGAGCAGTGGGAGGGATGGTGGCCTGGAAGCCCCTTCCTCTGGGCCAGGAGCAGTGGGACGGCCACTCAGAAACCCCTACCTCTGGGCCAGGAGCAGCGGGACTCAGTACCTTGGTCTGGTGGTCTGGTGTCCTCTGCGTCTTTGTAGTGAGGAACCAGGTGGCTGCCTGTCTGCTGCGGGATGATTCGGTGTCTTCCGTGTGACTGGGGACCTCGGTAGGGCGTGCACAGACCTGCCTGTCTGCAGGGGGCTGATTCGGCATGTTCCCTGCGACTCTGATCCTTGAAATTTTGAAAAGCATTCAGTAGGCAAAATAGAAACTCAAAGTTCATATTTTTAAAAAAACGAGAATGAAAAGAGAAATTAAGAATTATTATGTACATGTACCAACTCCACACAAAGAATATAAACATATACTGCAAACGTGTGCTAATAAAAATTTTTAAAAATAAAGAAACAGGCTATTAAAATTGTACAACCAATTAATTCTTTCCATGGGAATTGTACCATGTTACATCCATATTGCACACATCTGTGTCAAATCCTGCCCTATGATTTATCTGCTGCAAGCCTTTGAACAAGGGACCAAAATCCAAGCCTCAATTTCTTCATTTGTAAACAAGAGATATTCACTTGCAACACGAATGAAAATAAGCTAGGGTTCGATGTTCTGGAGAAGCCTCCCACATAGCAAACTGTGTGTGTAAGGAAAGTCATTGATGACACTAGTTCATGTCTTTGGCTTCTTCCAATTACTCCTGTACTCAGGCTCTAATGCACCTGCCACCTCTTGTTGTGACATCAGGTCAGTCTCATAGCTTCTTCAGACCTCAGTTTTCCCACTTGTCACAGAAATACATTTAAGACTACTTACTCCAAATGAAGATAATATTGTTAATAGAGTGAAATATTAAACGTGAAAGTATCTTACAAATGTAAGGTGTTGGGTGTCAACTAACCTGTTTTGCAACTTTGGAGCAGCTAGAAGTGTTGAGGCTCTGATGTAACACGTTAGAACATCTGCCAACACCTGCAGGAGATTTTCTGAGCATTCCACTATTTCCATTTTACTTCATTCCCTATTACTGTGGATGGAGTTTGTTGTGTACTGATTATTTCTCTTCCCCTAGGATGGCAATGGATACATAGATGAAAATGAACTGGATGCTTTACTGAAAGATCTGTGTGAGAAGAATAAACAGGTAATTTAGTTACTATATTTCTTATTTATCTTATTTATCTTCATGTTTCTGCAGCCCCACATTTATTTTGGAAATATACTTTAAAAATTTATAAATGAGTAGTAGATTTTAATTCTTAAATTGAATTGTTTATGGCTAAATCCATGTAATTGTGAAAGATTTTTTTTATGAACAATCCTGTGATTATTCACATTTGCATAAGAATTTAATCCAGCTCTTTTGAGTTGATATAACAAGTAGTTTCATCTCACATTTTATCAGTTAGTAATGGTTAATTAGCTTTCATATTTAACTGGATTAAATTGTCATCTATGTTCTATATAGGATCTGGATATTAATAATATTCCAACATACAAGAAAAGCATAATGGCTTTGTCGGATGGAGGAAAGCTGTATCGAACAGATCTGGCCCTTATTCTCTCTGCTGGGGACAACTAGAGTTGGGGCTACAACCACTTGCTAGTGATACATTGTATCTAAAAAAATAACTGTGCACTATAAAGGAGTAGGCTGTATTTTCTTTTATATCTGTAAATTTTACTGCCTATAGACAATTATCCAGGATGTGTGGCACATTCTTTTCTGCTTGTTTCTATACTGTTTGTAATGTACAGTTTTTGTAACTATATGATTGAAAAGGAGAAAGTCTATATTTAGGTCAGTCAGTATACGCAATTAAAAATAACCTAAAATATTCTTGCTTTTATAAATACAATTGGCCATGAAGATGCCCCTGAAAATTTTAACCAAGATTAATCTCTAAAATTCTAATCTCTGATATACAAATGCACATTTATCACTGAATAAGAGAACTATATATGACAAGCCAACCATTCCTTTTTTTTGATACTGGGGATCAAACTCGGGACCTTGCGCTTGCAAGGCAGGTGGCAGAACCACTGAGCTAAATCCCCGGCCCCAAACCATTCTTATCTGAAACAATCATGGGACTGTCCCACAAAGTACTAATATGTTTCCAAATACTAGGAGAAATGTAAATTTCTCATCTAAAATAGTCACCAAAATACCAATAAAGTTGAATTGTGGCTTTATGTAGTTAACAGTCTCACTAGATTTAGTTTATTAATCAACAACATGTCTACTGCTTGAATCCATACCAAACTATGACTCAAGTTGATATGACAAGGGAAAGTAGCAGCAGGTGACACAGATCTGATTCTAAGTCTGTTTCTAACAAGTCTACTGTCAGAGTATGACTTTAATCCATTTTCTATTTTCATGTGTTTCAGATTATAATTATTCTGGTAACTGCTGTTTTATGTCGTATTGTGTGTAAGCTCTGATTAAATTTAATATGCTAACTATCCTGGTGTCTAGTTTGCATACTTCCTGGATTTTTCTTTCTATGTAGAATTGTTCATTTCACCAAGGGTATCTGCTGCCTCTGAAAATATTTTTTTCTAGCTATAACAACTCTATTTTTTACTACGTAATTGAATTTTAATGTAAAATTCATAGCATCCTGATTACTGAATGTTATCTCATCAATACTTTTGTGTATTCTGTGGATTCTACATTTCATATTGAGATCAGCATTCAAAATAGTTCTATTTCTATCTACAAATAGTTTCAAATGAGTTAAAAATAGCATCTGAAAAGAAATGCTACTTTAATCATTTATCTTATCTAGCAAAGGAGATTCCAAAACATTCTTTGGCCCACATCTAAGTCACAGTTTCACATATTGTAGCTAGAATATCCTATACTGGTTATAGTTGACATGTAATGGATGGTGATTTTATATTCTCTATGGAGCAAAGAGTAATGAGAGAAATGTCTGTGTGGAATTTATGAAATTACCATTTAAAAGTTAATGATGGTTCTGGGTCAGCTTGAATGTTCCAATTCAACATTTATTTTTTCAATTCCTAAAACTAACAAAAAAATGTGAGCTATCTCTTTCCCTTAAGAATAAACAGAAAAAAGATCTACCAAAAAATAAAATTTATCAACTGATCTGAGTGGTAGATTGGCTTTGCTTGCAGTGTATAAATGGAAGCACTGATATTAGATTGAATTTAATTACAAAGAATAAATAAAGAAAATATCCTTTATGTTTTCTATTGTTTCTTCTCCAAAATGTTAACGTGAAATCCATAATTAATCCAGCTGGAAATGTAGGATGTCCAAATTATTGTAGCATAAGGAGTAAATGCACACAACTTAGTGAATTATTGGATAATTCATTGAATTAAGGAATGTCTCTGACATTAAGATTAACAATCAAAGATTTTTTTTAATATTCTAATATTTGAAGGGTTTTTTCCCAACTTCAAATACTTCATGCAAATTCTCCAATGGAATATACAGGATTTTCCTACATTTTATCTGTAGAAAAATAGTTGTTTACTATAAAATATACATAGAACCTATGTCAGGTTTGGGATTCTTACAATGACGACATGGAAAAATGAAATAACAAACACAGAAAAGTATGATGGTAGTAATTCTGAGATTTTTTTAGAGAGCTGCTAGCAATAATAAACATGAATTTAGTACCAATATTATCATGGTGGATTTGAACAAGTCTGCTTGTTGAGGCAGAAAACAGGGTCAATGAAAAAAAAGGAATCTAAAAGGGTAAATGCAAGATTGCCAGCACAATGGCTACCTCATATCACAAAGTACATTCCAAGTTTAGTTCCACTCTAAATGCAGAAGGTATGTAGAAGATAACATTGAAGAGACTCTTTGATACCACAGGTATGGGAATACTTCTTAATCAATTAAGAAGGGACAGATTGAAAAATTGTGGTCATTAAAAATAAAAGCTTCTGTTTATGAAAAAACACTAAGAGTGAAATGTGGGAGGAAGATTTTCCAACAATATAACTGACAAAGGCACATGGCCAAAATAAATAAACATTACTCTTAAAAATCAATTAAAAATATAACTCAATTGAGAAATGTGTAGGAAAGTAAAATGGGCATCTTAGGATACCTAAATGTCTAATAAAGAAAAAAAGCAGCCGATTTCTCACTAAGTGGGACAAATGACAATTTTAAAAAAGATAGATCCCACTATATGTTTGTCAAAAAGGTAAACAATAAGGACTAAGTGTTGTGAGGATGTAGCACAGTGGGAATTCTTACACACTGCTTGATGGCATGTTAAATTATAAACACTTTGCCAAATCACCTGGCAGTATTCACTAAACTGGAACATATCCACACCTTATACAGCAGTTTTCACTTCAAATATTGTCAGCCTAATAGAGAAAGGTATATGTATTTTCACCCAAAGAATAGGCATGTTCACAGCAGCACTGGATTTGGCAGAGTCTCAAACTAGGAACAACTCAAATGTCCATCAACAGCAGATGTAACAACTACATTTAATATATACCTTATTATCAAAGGAATGTTACAGAACAATGAGAACACATAAGCAATTGCTATGCAGAAAAGAAAAGCCACAAACTAAAGAATACATTCTAAGTGATACTATTTACATAAACTTCCAAAAGCAGTTTAATTATGGTGTTAGAGGTCAAGATAGCGGTTAGTCTGAAGAGGAGGAGAGAGGGTTCTAGAATCCTAGTGATGTTCTTTCTCGACTTGGGCAGAGGTTACATGTGTATATTTGTTTTGTAATAACTCGTGATTTGTGCAGTTTTAAATCTGAAAGTTAAAAAATAATGGATTTTTTTTTATTTTTAAAGGCTTTTGCTATATGATTGTATTTTATAAATATCCTGTTGTTATCGTCTTGATTTAAATTATAAACTCCAGAGGCATCAGCTGCACAGACATGAGCGTGACTAATTGTGTGACTAGAAAAAGTCACAGAACTTCCTCGAGCCATAAGCAATTTCCTCCGTTGCAAAATGAAAGAATTGAGTATCTCCTAAGGTTTTTCCAGTTCTAGAATTCTATTATTCAAAGTCACTTTTATTCTTGCTGCTTTAGTTTCCACAAGAACAATAAGCAAACAATGACTGTCATTTCATACTTGAAATATTTCCTGGAGGCTGTCACATTAATTGTAAGATGAGCGACACAGTTAGCAATAAACCTCACTTTAATTGACTGTTAACTCTTCCATTAGTGCAATAAAAGCAGGACTCTTAAAAGAGTACTAAGTAGAGTGACAGCAATAATTTTTAGGACAAAACATTGCTGTGCTTATACTCCAACAGTGGTCTGTCATAGAGGGTAGTGATTATACATCAATAATGTTTGCTTCTCTTTCAGACTCAAAAAAAAAATTTAGTAGGGGAAATCCTTTTTGATGCTTTCTGCCATGCTTACAAGCTTCGCTCCCTCATCTACCTCTTACAATAATATATAAGAGAAACTCTGACAGATGACTATTACAAGAAAAAACTGCATACAAGCTCATACAAATCAGAAGTTTTAAATACCCCATTAAGATAGCAACAGGTGAGCCGGGGATTTAGCTCAGTGGTTTCGCCACCTGCTGCACAAGTGCAAGGACCCGAGTTTGATCCCCAGTACCAAAAAAAAAAA